AGGGATGACTTCAACTTCACCATTTGAAACTCTTGGTTTAATAGCTTCCTTGTGAGCAGCAATCCTCTATCAAGGAAATCATGATAGGAAACACAAGCCCGGGAATATCGTATCAATTGGGAGATATATACTCCGTATGCAGGCGCTGCTGGAATGTTGCTACATAGAAATGGAAAGTTCACAATTGGGAAGCTGAAATCATCTCTTTTGTCGTAAAGTTTTGTTTTCAACCGACCCTCATTGTCAATTTCTAGATGTAAGTCAAGATATGAGGCAGACTTAACTGTATCTGTAGTATCCTTTATCTCTAGTTCGATGGGATAGATTCGTTCAACATAGTCACCAAATTTTGTATTATTTAGTGAGAGAACATCATCTATATAGCGGAACGTAGAGTTAAAGGATATTGATAACTTCTTATCTCTCTTCCTAAGAAGCTCCTGTATGAAGTCAGCCTCATAATAATAAAGAAACAAGTCGGCAAGAAGAGGGGCACAATTGGTTCCCATTGGAATTCCGACAGTCTGTTGAAAAACACGTCCTCCAAACGTAACAAATATGTTGTCAATCAAGAAATCAAGCATCTTGATAATGTCAGTTTCAGAGAATTTTTTGTTTGAATCAGAGTGATTCTTTACAAAGTAGGATTTATCCCTCCCCAAGACAAGATACTTGTATCTACGTTCGCCATTCTTTTTAATGAAACAAAGAATACCAACTTTTTCAATTTGTCTTTTAGTTTGGAATGGGGAATACTTGTGTAAAGTGTAGAAAAGTCAAATGTTTTAATACTATTGCAAGATGAGAGAGTCTTAGATTGTATGTACTCTAAAAGATCTTTGGAATTTTTTAGTATCCACATCTGATTCACGCCACCTCTAGAATAGGCAGTTTCACAATAACTTTGGAGCCCGGCTTTGATTGCTGATAAAATAGATGTTAATAATTTAGAAAGAGGTTTCGTGGAGCACTTGGAAGACCCAGCAATATACCGTTGTTTGTAAGGACACTTATGTAGTTTAGGTATCCAATACAGTGATGGAAGATCCAGTTCTTCGTCTTTGGTTGAAATTCCAAAAGAACATAGAACAGACCTATGATTATCTAGGATTTCCTCCTTGGTAAGTGTCTTGAGGGTATATGTTGAGTTTCCAAGTGAATTGTCAATACCTAATTCATTTATCAAGCAGTTTATGTAATGATATTTACACACAAAAACGATGTTGTTTGGGGCTTTATCTGCGGGGACAACAACATATTTGTCATGGAGGTAGGACAAGTGTTTTGCAACATTTGGGTCTTTAAAAATTGATGTAGCGTGGGTATTGATATGCCCATTTAGTTTCTTAATACGGATTTGTATCAACGACCTCACAGCCTTAATCCATTCGGAGAGAGAATCTACGTCTTCTTTCTCGCGTTTAGCCCATTGCCTGGCATAATCCTCGACTGAATCCATCAGTATTTTGAAGTTGTATTTCCAATTGATGGATTTAGGCTCACGATATTTCGGACCTTTGGATAACAAATTTCGCAGGGAAGAAAGAGAACAGTCACGGTACCAATTTTACTGCTCCAGAGTCTGAAGTTATCATTATAGTACGGTATATAAAACAATAATATAAAATTCAAAATCAAATCAAAATACTAGTGAATCTAGAACAGCAAGCTTTCTAATTTCACTGTTTAGCATATGCACAGTTATCCTTTTCGTTTTTCGGTTGGGTAACAACAGATCAATCAAAAGGATGCAAATTTTGAAATCCCTTTTTTTCTACAACTGCAAGTTTTTTTAAAGTCCTTGACCACTTAATAAGGTATCGAATGGTTGGCTCGAACCCTGGGGATCTTCGGTAAGCATTAATTCATCTTGATATTTTATCGTTGTTGTCGAAGTAAGTCAGGCAAGAGGACCAATTAGTATTTCTTTTTTGGTTTTGTCGATATATATTTTTTCTGTTGGGGTTCACTTTTGGGGCCTGGTCGATCAAATATTCAGCCCGCACAAAAAAAAGTGTATGCAAGTATGTGACAAAGAAGATGACCACAGGAAGTCAGGTTAAGTCCATTTACTACACCACCGATGCAGGGTAACCGGACGTCTCACGCAATACAACAAGTAATGATATTCCTGCAGGTGTGGACCAACCGATCCATTAGTTAATCATATAACTTATATTCTGTACGGCGTTGAAATGTTTCTTTAGCAGTGTATTACTGCTAAAGAAACTTTTTAACGCCGTACAGAATATAAGTTGTTATACCTTCAACTTACCAGCATACAATCTTATATCAGGTGCAGTAACAGCAACTGGCCTTTTCTGTCCCTAAAAACTTAGACGTGATTACAAAAGGAATAACGGCATTTTAGGTAATACGGACTTCTACCAACTTTACAAGTAACACCTGCTCATATTATTTTTATCATAACAACTACCACTGATTAACCTTCATTTTTCATTGAATTTTCTATTAACAAATAAAACACTAACAAAATATTCAATTTACGCGTGTAAAGATAATTCAAAAGAATGCATAGGTTGCATGCATTGATTTATGAAACACAATCTTGCATGCACTTGACTAAACCCCAAGCAATGGATTCGCGCCATAATTACAGTTGGTAATTTCAAATCACGACGAGGTGTTTATTCAACAGTATAGCATCTATCGTTTCATACTTTTTGTACACAAAGCTTTAAAAATAACACTTAATCTGTATAAATTTGTTTCGGCCGAAGCACTTTTCTGGTTTATCATCATCAGGAACGCCCAAACCCACGAATTGGAGAGCCAGGGATGTATAAGTACGAAAACACGTGAAGAGCTATATGAACATAAGGAACATAAAATGAAAAGCCAACACATCCATCTAAGGTTAACTTTGCCTGAAGTAGTTTGAAACTTAATTTCTTGATAATTTATAAATCTATAAACGCAGAATTTAGAAACATATGTTGATCTATAACATATTTGTTACATTTGGATGACATGTTTTTCAACAAACAATCTGCATTCCTATGGGAACTAATTGTGCTCCTGTTCTTGTCGATTTATTCTTTTATGCATACGGAACAGACTTCATATAGAAGCTTCTCAGGAAGAATGATAAGAAGCTAGCCGTTACCCGAGGATAGGTCGAGAACAAAATTTTACGACAAAAGGATGATTTTCGTTGTCTACAAAATAGTCCACAGTGTGGCCCGTGTATAACTTGCAAAGTTTTTCATACACCTTCCAAATTTATTTCTCTATATTTTATGCATAAAATAGTAAGTAAGGGGATGAAATTACATGTGAAAAAAATTGGAGCATGAACTTTTTAGGTAAAGTAGAGATTTCGTCCAGTTTGAAAAAGTCAAAAATTAGTATATCTGAAGCTGTAAAACTGCATTATAGACCCCCTTAACATAAAGTTGTCCACATTTTGATTTAGAGCCAATAGACTTTTTCTTTTAATTTTGATATAATTTGTCCCAAAAGTAGTACAAAATACACTGTAAAAATATTTTTTGGGGATAGAGCATGTGCGATTTTTTTTAATTTTCGTTTTGTCTAAAAGAAATGCACTAACAAAAAAGCTGTGTTCTCGGACCATTTTCGATCATGATTTTCTTGATTACAGGTTGCTAACTTTACCGGATTTATACTTGCATGAGCAACATGATGGGTGTCACATGTGGAGCAGGGACTGCATAACCATTTGGAGTACCGGATTTAATCCTTGGTTTTTGGTGGGGTTCATGTTGCTAAATCTTCAGTTTTCTATGTAGTGTTTAGTGGACTTGTTCGTCTTTTCGATGTATTTCGTGTTTTGCCATATCTTTGCCAGTCTGTCTTCGACTTATGAGTTTTGCATATCCCCTTGAGGATCTGCTTACCTTCTGGAGCACCTGAAATCACCACCAGTTTTTGATGGGGTTCGTGTTGCTCAGTCTTTAGTTTTCTATGTTGTGTTTTGTGTACTGTCTGTTTGTCTGTTTGTCTGTTTGTCTGTTGGTCTTTTTCTTTTTTAGCCATGGCGTTGTCAGTTTATTTTTAACTTATGACTTTGAATGTCCTTTGGTATTTATGCCTCTCTTTTTCCGCCTCGTTTTTATAAATCATGTAAGTACCGAAGCACTGACTACAAAGCCGATCATACCGTCGGAGACTAACAGTCCACGCGTAGTGGTATAGACCCAGTGTTAGAAAATAAAAACAACACTTTATAAATGTGTTTGGACCCTAAGAGCTTTTCTATATTTCCTTTTACCAGGAACGCTCATACCTAAAAATCGGAAAGGCAGGTGTATTTTAACATAAACACGTGAAAAGAAATTATGACCATCAGGCAACTGTAAAGAATAGTCACCTCCATCCAATGTCAACTCAGCCTGAAGAAGTTTGAACCTTAGTTTCTTCATAAATTCAAAAACGGAGAATTTTTAAACAAATGTAATGAATCATGTCAGTAATTATGCAATGGTATCGACCCTCGACCAGTGCTAGAAAATGGGATTATTTGGAATTCTAAAACCCCAAAATTGAAAAGCTAGTTATGTTTTAGTACCTTAACACGCGAAGGTCTATATGACCATAGTGGACCGAAAGAGAAAAGCCAAACTTATCTTAGGTCAAAGTTGCCTGAGGGAGTATTTGGAATAATTGTACAATATGTAATTGTGCATTGTTTATAGACATATTACTTGTAAAAATAGGTACTAAGTAGTTATAAAGAACCTGATGTTCAGTGGTTGTCGTTTGTTAATGTGGTTCATAAGTGTTTCTCGTTTCTCGTTTTTTATATAGGTTAGACCGTTGGTTTTCCTGTTTGAATGGTTTTACACTAGTCATTTTGGGGGCCCTTTATAGCTTGCTGTTCGGTGTGAGCCAAGGCTCCGTGTTGAAGACCGTACTTTGACCTATAATGGTTTACTTTTGCAGATTGTGACTTGGATGGAGAGTTGTCTCATAGGCACTCATACCACATCTTCTTATATCTATCTATGAAAATATACCTTTGACACAGATCCTCTTTTTGAAATTACTCTGATTTGTCCACCACGGTCATCTGCTTTAGAAATCTCAGTTCTCTTGTGTGAACGATTGTTCTCTGGTTTCTTCATTTTTAAGTTCGACTTGCTTTGTTTATATGTATCAGTTGGGTTGACTTCTTTCGAAGGAACTACTTGGCTGCTATGATCGTTCTTTGTCTTCTCTTTGTCTTTGTTTAATCCAGACAATTTATACTGAGATTGTCCCTGCACTTGTTTGACTTTCCCTCCAGTTCCTGTTTTTGAGACAATATCTTGCTTGTTTTTTACTTCTTTTGTTTTTTCTGAACTAGGTGTTTGCTTTTCTTCGCGCTTTTCGCAAAATTCTTCTTCTGTTTCTGCTCGTAGTTGTTCTCTGACAATTAATTTATCTTTGTCAATAATGTCAACTTTTCTGACGTCTTCTTCTCTTTTGCTATTATTATTAAAGGAGTTGTCGTCTTTCTTTTTTATCATATTATCCGACATAGAAATCTCGTTTTTATCTAAACATAAAATGTCGTTTGCTTCATCAGGACTTTTATTTTCCTCGTTTGAGTTATTCGTAAAAGACGTCTGCTCCTTATCTTCACCTATGACAGGTAAAACAATGTGCTTTTCTTTATTGATTACGGGTATTTCAACATTTACTTTACAAATTTCTTCTTCCGGACTTCTACTACTATTTATTTCTTTATATATATCCTCATTTGTTAGTTCTTCATTTTGTGATCCCTCAACGATTGAAAGAAGATTCCGCGTTTTTTTAGGTGTTATTGTAACTTTTGTAATGTGTTTAACTGTTTCATCCTCTTTTGAATGACTGGTGCTTGGAGCAGTGTTCTGCTTTGAAGAGTTTTCTTCATTTGTTTCCATTTGTAATTGATTGCCTCCAGAATAACTATCCTCAATGGAAACATTGTCGTTACGTCTCATTTCATCTTTAATCATTGTATTTTCTCGTGATCTACTTGAACTTGAAATATCGCATACGCTTTTCTTTGATCCTAATTCTTTTATAACATCTGCCAATGGTCTGGTAAGAGATGACGGCCTTCGTCTGTTTTCGGTACTATTAGAATCACCATATACAACACGACTTCTTGGACTATATTGTGTAGTATAATTTCTCATACTCTGTTTTCTTTTGCGTAAACTAATAAGGCTTTGTGAATCGCTTTCTTTTGTAGCTTCTGTGGTCGGCGTAACATTTTCTTTATAAGAAGAGGCACTTTGTTCTTTTTCAGTGTCGTAATTGACTTGAAAATTCTGTTTTGTTTCTTTTTTTCTGTTTTTCATTCTGTAATTAATAACATCTTCTAACGATGACACAGTGCTAGTTCCTTTGGTTGACGCCGAATTCATATTTCGTTCATCAGTATTTGATGTAGGATTCGATGCTGGAGTAGATATACTGGATGGATTGTCTTGTCTTATTTTTATAATACGTTCTGCTAGTGTATTCTTTTGCATATCTTAGAAGATAAAAATATCAGCATTGAAAAAGGCATTTAGTGCTAATAGCCAAGGATTGGTGCTTTTATACGTTCATTTATCTGCGTTGTTGGGACAGGATCACGAAAAAGGTTGCTCTCAGATTGACGTATACCTAACAGTCTTATTCATATTGTAAAACGATTAGATACTCTTAAAATGACTGTCAGCTAGAACATTTTTCGTATCAGCGATGACCAATGTTTATTTTATTGAGTGTTATAACAATAACGATAAAACAAAGATAGACATATAAAACCATAGAAAAAGTTAATAAATAAATATTGTTGTTACACCAACAGTGATTCCCCTAAGGATGTCTTTAAATGTACTTTGAATGAATTTATTTGCTAGATTAAACATTTTCTGTATAAACAAGGCTATTAAATAGCAAAATTTGGGGACATAAATCCTCAATAAATATTGAGAGTATTTAAAAAGGCGAACAGCATATTTGATGCATAAATTAATAATTTTTTTAAACATTTTAAAGTTTTGTTGATTGCTGTTATGCACCATTTCCTCTCTTCATTATAAAAAAATACATAGACTTAATATATATTTAAATAAAAATGAGATTACTTACTGTATGATGTCAAAGTAAAATGTTTCTGATGCTTTCAGAGTCGAAATTGAATTAAAGTAATGACAATCAAGTTATATATGAAAGATAAAAATATCAATAAATCACTTTCATATACGGTTACTCTTTACAAAATCCTACTCAGTCAATACAAGAGGATTTATACAGTTAATTAAAACATGTATATAAAATTATCTATGTATTATCAATAAAGTGCTCTCCATGGAATTTACAAAATCAACAACGTCAAAATATTGATTATTGTTTGTCGCTGACAAATTTTTACTGTAAACTAAGTTTCAGTTTTAATTTAAGTTCTGTTTGGTTAATGCGATGTAGATTAAATAATTGATTAAATTCAATAGAAATGTATCTACAGTCTAAAAATTATTCAGCAGATGATAGGGTGAGCCATAGGAATCAACAAAATAAAAATAAAAGCTTTTTAATTTGTTACTGTGTCTGGAATGCTGACATCTACAAAGTATTAAAAATAAAATTAAGTTGTAGCACTGTAATTATCAGGAAATTAACACAATCAAACTGATAGCACATGTTCAAGCCCCAACAAACATTATTTTTTATAACTGGACAAGTATTGAACTACAGTTGAATATAAAGTTTGAAGAAAGGAGATATATGGCATTTAACAATGAGTAAGCTACTCAATCCTCCACATACCTTTGAAAGGTTAACATATGACAATAGACACGTGTCGATAAAATATTTCTAGCTCTCAGTTAATCGGAGTTTAGATAACTTGTGAACAAATATCACAGAAAGTCTCAAATATCTACCACTATCAATAAATATTCATTAAACACTAGAACTTATAAAAACTTCTTACGAGGTTCTAGATATTGAGACTGGTTAAAGAATGTGTGTGTGTGTGGGGGGTGGGGGGGGGGGGGGTGGGGGGGGGGGGGGGGGGTTCTCTTTAGCATTTACCACTTCCCCTTTCTATTTCGATCAGTGGAATACCGACAGGAACTAGAACCACCATGTATCTACTATGAAGTGAGTGTTTGTGTGTATTGGTGTAGGCATAAATATTAAATCGCTTCTTTATCAATAAACATTCACCGCTTATCCGAGTACTTTATTATGTATTTTTTCCTATCTCTCAATACAATAATACAATTGCTGTTGTTTAATTGGAAAACTACCATCGAAACTATCTGAAAAGCAAATGTAAAATTGAATCACTTGCAAGCTTGTCATATAAATTATCAAGTTTGTACCTAAAATTTACCTTAAATGATCTCTTCCTTCCTAGGAATCCACATCTCAGAAACATTGCGTGGAGAATATATTTTTTCACAATATCGTGGATAACTTTCTGAACAGAATAGAAGGATAAAAAAAAGAGGTCTTTGTAGATTCTTTGTGGAAAATCATCCCACATTTAGACTTCTTTGATGGAAGATAACTTCCCAGCACATACAAAATTGTTTTGGAATTATTTGTCTGGTCATAGTAGATATACATGTATATTATATAGAATGCGTTACATAATTTAGACAACTCTTTAAATTACAATACATTTTATATACAATATGATAAGAACAAATATCTCATAGGAATATGAAAGGACAAAATAGTTTTCAAAAACTCATGCCATATGTTTTTATTTGTTGTACCAGTAACTAAACAAAACTAAAACTTTGAGTGAATCCACAAAAAGATAACCTACACGCAAATTCGCCTTTTGCATATTACGCCGGGATTATACTCTTTATACACATCCTCAGATAGTGTACTACCACTGTGCAAAATTTAATCAAAATCCATTTAGCCTGTTTGGAGGAGTCACGCTAATAAAGCACAGGGACAAACAAACAGATGGACGGACGAGCGGACGGACGGACAGGGTGATTCCTATTACCCCAAAAGCATTGTAAAAATAGACCTGCCTGGTTTTCAGAAATACATCTCTATCATCTGTGAAACGGATATTCCATAACGGTCAACCAACTCGTGATGGCGTCCGTAAAATTTACGAAGGGATGATTTCAACTCCACCACTTGGTTGACTAGCTTCAAGGAAATACAAGCCTTGGAATATCTTATCAACTGGGAGATATATACTCCGTATGCAGGTGCTGCTGGAATGTTGCTACATAGAAATGGGAAGCTCACAATTAGGAAGCTGAAATCATCTCTTCTGTCGTAAAGTTTTGTTTTCAATCCACCTTCATTGTCAATTTCTAGATTTAAGTCAAGATATGAGCAAGATATGAGGCAGACTTAACTGTATTTGTTGTACCTTTTATCTCGAGTTCAATGGGATAGATGCGTTCAACATAGTCACCAAATTTTAAATTATTTAGTTAGAGAACATCATCTATATATAGCGGAAAGTAAAGATATTTTAAGATACTGCTGACTTCTTTTATAATAGGTATATTGTAAAGAATAGTGTGAATATAGAGCAAAATTTAAAAAAGGCAAAAGTGTATGTTTACACAATAAGAAAGTCGTATGAGAGAATTCATAACACCGCACATTCTTTATGTTATGCGTTAAGTATAAAGTAGAATTCTATTTGAAGCAATGTTATCGATATTTTTTCAGTCTGGTTGTTGTTGTTCTTACGCATACACAATATGTAACGTCACTTCTTAATAAGAAATAAGAAGATGTGGTATGAGTGCCAATGAGACAACTCTCCATCCAAGTCAAAATTTATAAAAGTAAACCATTAAGCATGAGTATTAGTCTTTCTTCGATTCTAAGGGAGACACCATTTGATTCTGATTTTGGTTTTAGGGGAAACGGGGAGTGCATTCAAACAAGGTGTCGTTTGAATATATTTTCTATTTAACTTGTTACAGAATATTTATTTTCAACCCACAAAAATAAAAGTATCTGATTACATTTCAATTTTAAATTAAATTTGAAAAGACTAAATATTTCTGAAAATTTACCATGTTTGACAATCAAATATTATAGAAGTTACTTTTGAAACTCACTCTTTACACTAAATTCGTTGGATGTGTACTGATTGGTAGTTTGTCTGAGAGTCCATGATTTATTAATTAATTAGTTATATTTACTTTAAACTAGGATTCAGTAACTGTGTACTCTTATATCGGTGTTTTATGTCTATTGTTTTTATGTTAATTATTTTTTTGTCACTTACCGATCTTTTGAGTTAAGCCAATTGCAACTGATTTTTACAGTTTTTTCTTCTGTTGTGCTGTTACACCACGGTCCCAGGCTAGGGAACCCCACAACATTCGTTATGTGCCTGTAGCAAGTCAGGTGCCTGTTTTTCATGTCTGTCATATTTGTTTTTCGTAAAATGTTGTATTATGAATTAGGCCTTTATTTTTCTCGTTTGAATTGTTTCACATTTTCATGTCGGGGCCTTTTTAAGCCGACTATACGGTATGGGGTTTTCTCATTGTTGAAGGGCGTGGGATGGCCTATACTTGCTTATTTTCACTTCATTTGAACGGTGGTGGATAGTTGTCTCATTGGCAATCATACCACATCTCCCTAATTTTATTTATGCTTGTAAAACTCGCTGCTTGACATTAAACAACAATCAATCAATATTTTAAATTCGTTTCCATGGATGAAAAAAAGTAAGTTTACTTTTACCATACAAATTAAGGTTTTTCATGTTATAATCCACACTAATGTCTTGTTTTGTTATTCGGCCTCGTTGGGCAGTACAAATGCATGACAAATGTATATATATAATATATCACAGTTATCGCTTGTGAAAACTGTATATTTGTTCAAAATTAAGTATATATTTTTCTAAGTTTATTTTGTATACTTCTCTTTTGTTATGAAATACTAGAAATAGTAAAGATAAAAAAGTATGGTTTACTATATTATATCAGCATGAACTACTTCTGGTCCAGCATTGCATGTATCTGTGGCGAGCGAAATCCCTTCATACTCGAACAACGTTACGCTATGTTCAATTGGGTTAATATGCGCAATTCATTTCAGGTAGGCGGTTATGGTAACCTTTTCCGCTATTTCTCTGACAATATCGTAAACATGGATATGTATGATGGATCGCTTCGAAGCTGATACATTT